AGCGGCAGTGAGAGGACTCACCGGAGACAGAGTGGGAAGCAGAACAGGCCGATTGATGAAGTACACTGCTGAGGGGAGCAGCGGGTGGGTCAGGAGAGGTCTGCAGCACCATGTGGATCACCTCCAGGGCCAGGGATCAAACTGGCACTAAAGAGGCTGTGGCTAGTTTGCAGTGCTGTGTCCTAACCTGCTGCATCACCAGCGAGGGCCCCAAACTGCCTTATTTTTTTTATGTACTTATTTATTTAGATTTTACACCAGTGTTCATTTTTGTACACTGTATGTTGGTGTGACTTTGAATTGGGAAGGTGGGCTGGAAGGGAAGGGATGCCCTTGCTCACTTCTATGGTCCAGACTGTGTTGTAAGACCACCCATCACTGCAAGGACATGAGAGGGGTTCATGGGTGCCCTGAGTCAGAGCTCATGGAGGGAGGAGCAGATGAGTATGGGGTGGGTACCCGGCAGGCTCTAAGGGATGCCCCAGGTGTGGCAAGCTCAACTTAAACTCACATAAAGTTTGAGGTGCCTGTGGCCATCAGGGAGGATGAGCAATAGATACACTGTTGGTGAGGACACCCACCTGAAGCCAGCTGCTTTCAGAAGTTTCCCAGCCTGTTCCATGACGGCTCTATAGAAAGTATGTGTCCCCTGGACTACCAGAGTAAGAATGAGGTGCTGGACTATACTTCTAGAAGAGTCTGCTGCCAAGGCTTTGGGATGGCTCCTGTGAATGCAAGCTGGCCCACTGTAAGCTTGTCCTCTCCTCCTTCTGGGGGGCCACACAGCACATAGGGCCTCTGCTTCCACTGGGATGCAAAGTCCCTTCTTTGCTAAGACCCTCAACATCTTAACCACCGTGTTGACCTTGGTTGATTGGCAGAGGGATGTCTCTGGATTCTCACCTGTAATCTGGGCCTGTCAGAGAGGCAGCCTCCTAGCTCACTGCTCATTATCCCTTTTAGCGAAGCCGAGATGGGCCTTTCTGTCCTCACTGATTTGCTCTTTGGCATACGCAGTGCAGGCCCAGGCTGGGCAACCTGCTGTGTTCTCGGCAGCTCCACAGCCACCCCTGTGGGGGAGCCCCAGGGACTGAAGAGCAGGCCAACCAAGCCCATCTTGACTCTTTCCCATGCTCTCTGGCCTCCTTCCCCATACACAGCTTCTTGGAAAGGGGTTCCTTTTCAAGAGTACTTCACTGTCGGTTGGCATGACATGCTCACAAGACTTCCCCATGTTGGTGGCCAGGACCCCTCCTGGGACCCTCCTCCCTCTTTGGTGACAAGTTCTCCCATATGGCCTTGTGACTCCCCCATCTCCACCTTGACACCATTAGCCTCCATCTCTCCTGAGCATCAGAGGCTTCCCAACCGGGCCTCTCCAATGTGAGCGGCCTCTTTCAGACACAATTGCTCTTCCTTCTGCTCCTTGCATGAGATGTGGTTCCCGTGTGTGTGTGCGTGCATGTGTGAGTGTCTGTGCATTAAGTCTAGGGCCCCCCAACTCTAAGCCTCAGTAGCTATGCCCCGCTCATGTGAAGATGGCTCCTTTTTGTCAATGGAATCTTAAAAATACACCACCGTGACAGCATCGCTGTGGTAGGAATGGTTCTTGTTTGCTTTCCCCCAAACTCTGAGTGTGTCGGGGGCAGAACCACATGTTAATCTTCTCTATGAGCTCAGTACCTATGTGGGGACCACAGAGTACTTAAGTGAATGAATGAATGAATGAATAAATGAGTGAATGAATGAGAAAGTGAATGAATGCTCAGGAGTCGGGAGCCATGTGGTACATCCCCACATACTGAGAAGTCACCCACTGTCCATAATATTAGAGCAGAATGGGTTATGGGACAAGTCCGATGACATTCCTCCTGGAATGTAGAGGGAAAAACCTATGTACGTGGGTGTTCCTTGGTCCCAGTGACATTTTTATAAGATTTATTTATTTATATGTACAGAACTGGGGTACATGTCAGAGGTGTGTGAGGTGAGAGGGTTCACCAGAGACAGAGCGGGGAGCAGAACAGGCAGATCAATGAAGTACACTGCTGAGGGAGGAGAGCAGTGGGTGGGTCAGGAGAGGTCTGCCACGCCATGTGGGTCACCTCCGGGGCAGGCGGGGATCAAACTCATGCTGCAGTGGCTGCGATAGCTTCATAGTGCTGTGCTTTAACCCACTGCACCACCAGGGAGGGCTCCCAGTGACTTTTTGAGGTCACAGGCTAAATGGAGTGAGTAAAGCTAGGGCCTCACAAAGATCACACACACACACACCCTCCCTCCGGTCATATTCCCTGGCCATCGCCCTTTCTGGAACCCACAAGGAGAGGACATTTGCTGATTTGAGTTTCACTACCCTTTCCCACAGGAAGTCACCTCCAAACTGTTGTTCAGCTGTCTACTGTCCCCACCTCCAGCCCTCGGCCTTGTAAGCGTGGGCCACTCAGCAGGCCCCAGCATAGCCACTGTCTCAAGATTGGGAAGATGACCCAGTTCAGGCCAATGAAACTAAGGAGAATTGCTACAAGCTTCTGAAAAGGCAGTCCCCCCATGATGATCCTATGTGGCCTCAAGCATGGAAACACTAAGGATCTCACCCAAAGAGGAAGCCCACACCGGGGGACTGTCAGGGTGCCCAGAGGAGACGTGGCAAAGGGCCTGCCCTGCCACATCAGAGTCACCCACCCCTGCCACCAAGGGCATGCGAACCTGAGGTTTGGTCACAGTCTTCCGCACAGAGCCTGCTTTGCAAGATGGGTGAGGGTAGGGTTGACTCCCCCTCATATCCCACCCCCCACCCTCTGCCCTAACTCCCCATCTTGCCCACCACACTCAGGTCCTGAGTTGGGGAGAAGCCCAAGGGGGTTGCCCGCAGCAGGCCCGCTCCCACCAGTCAGTGTGGGCCCAGAGCCTGCAGCCCTGGCCCGCCACCAGTCACCACCCTCAAGGGCCCTCAGGGACAGAGCCACCGTGGTCACACATCAGCCCGATTGCAGGCCAGTGTCTGTCCCACCGCCAGGGGAAGAAAACCAGCCCACCGCTTTCTGGTCTCCACCACACCCAGCCTCACTCCACCTTTACCTATTTCTTCTGCCCCTTCCCAGCCTCAGCCTGGTTCTCTCTGCCTACCTCACTGCCTTGCTTGTTCAAGCTGAATGGCTTGAATTCTCTTGGGCTGGCAGGAACATGGTAGTGCCCCAGCTCCCAGGCTCAAGCAGACTTGGGCTTTGGGCAGGCTGCCCTTACCCCCCAGACAGGGACCCTGCAGCTGCTCTCCCACCTGAGGGAACTGTCTCTGCAGGGACCTCCCTGTAGCCTCACCTGTGATACAGGTTTTTCCTAATTCCCCAGCTTCCAAGGACCCCTTTAGGGTCAAGGTTCAAGTCTGAAAGATCTTTGGATCTCAGACTGTGACAAAACTAACACTGATGCCTTCTGTGCCTCAAGTCCCCCATGAAGACGGAGGCGTGTTAGCACCTGGCTGCAGCCCACCTGTGCAGGGCACACACCCTGTACAGCACAGGCCAGCTGGCCGGGCTGCCAGCCTGGCTGCACCAACAACTACGTGTGGCCTTGGGCAAGAGACCAACCTGTCCATGGGGGGGGGGGGGCTTAAGGAGGGGATGAATGGAAAGAAAGTTAAAATTTTCCTCCCTGGTGGCGCAGCGGGTTAAAGCACAGCACTGAGAATCTAAGGCCGCTTCCGCATGAGTTCGATTCCCGCCTGCCCCGGAGGTGACCACATGGCGTGGCAGACCTCTCCTGACCCGCCCGCTGCTCCCCTCAGCAGTGTACTTCGTCGATCTGCCTGTTCTGCTCCCCGCTCTGTCTCTGGTGAAGCCTCTCACCCTCCGCATCTCTGGCCTGTACCCCAGTTCTGTATGAATAAATAAATAAATCTTTAAAAAAAAAAAAAATTTCCGTGGGGCCCTCCCTGGTGGCGCAGAGGGTTAAAGCACAGCCAAAGCCACTTCAGCATGAGTTTGATCCCCGCCTGCCCTGGAGGCAGACCTCTCCTGACCAGCCCGCTGCTCCCCTCAGCAGTGTACTTCATCAATTTGCCTGTTCTGCTCCCTCACTCTGTCTCTGGTGAATTCTTTCACCGCCCCTGAACCTCTGGCCTGTACCCCAGTTCTGTATGCATAAATAATCTTTAAAACAAACAAACAAACAAAAAACAAAACTTCCCAGTGGAGTAACCAGAAATGAGCTTCCTGAACCCAGCTTCATAACTGTTATTGCTCAGAGGTTATGGCAGAGCCAGCACTGCCAGCCACACGACAAGGCAGGGCTAGAGCAGCGACCGTCCCACTCTCTGAAGCTAAGATTCTGCTGTTTATACTCTTCGCCTTTCTCACCAGGGTCCAGTTTACTGGAAAGCACGTCCCTTCCGCCTGGAAGTCCAGGCTGGCCCATGGACTCAGGAGCACCACGCCAGGGTGTGCTGGGAAGGGCCTGGGCCACTGCCGTGTGGCACGTTGCTGAGGAGCCAAAGACAGGTGGCTGGAGGAGAGGCACTGGGCCACCACGCGCGGGCTCGTGGCCACGGGGTTCAGCCGTTTACAGGGCCAACTGCCTCTACACCCCCCAGAAAGTCCCCAGAACTCCTCATCTTTACAATGGGGTGCTGGCACCTACCCCAAGGTCTCAGATGTATGAAATGTCTCCGAGGATGGTACCCACCTAGATATAAAACTGGCCATCAAGTCCATCCTCCCCACCTGTCACCAGGTCCCATCACCCACGTTCCAACCAACCACCACTGTACATCAGGTGACAGGGCTGAGGCCTAGGTCAGGGCTGGCCCAGTCAAACTCAAAACCAATGGCAGGCAACAGCTGGCGGGGTCCACAGGACCCAGCCTCCTGCCCCCCGGCACCTGGAGGAGCTGAGGGGTACAGAACAAGGACTGGCTCCGCAGAAAAGTTACCGATCATCCCAGTCTGCTCCCCTGAAGACGAAAGTGGAAGGAGAAAAAACAAACACACAATCTCTGAGTGTTTTCGTCAATTCTGTTGTTTGTTTCGTTTTGTTTTGAACACTAAGATTTATTTTCAAACAGCACACAGACGGTCTGCGGGGCAGGGCCAGGCCAGGCTGGCGTCTGGGCCCTGAGGTCACTGGAGACACCGGGCCGGGCCCACCCCAGCAGCTGCCAGGGCGGGAGGCCGTGCCCGGGTGGCGGGGCCGAAGCTCAGGCAAGCATGGTGGCTCAGTGCCCCGGCCCCTGCGGCCGGCACACATGCGGCGTCGCCCTGGGGGGAGCAGGGCAGGGCAGCCAGGAACTCAACTAGGGGACACAGCAGCTTCAGGAACGCTGGCGATTCCGCTGGACTTGCCGGCACCAGGCTCTTTGGAAAACCACCCCATCGTTGGGAGAACACCTCTCGACTGCAGTCTCTCCCCTCCATTTCCCTTCGCTTTTCAAAAGTTTAAAAACAAAAACGGAAAAAAAAAAACAAAAGAAAAGAAACACACATTTTCCGGGAAAAGGTGTTCTTCACACGCCCAGAGAGCTGCCCTCACTGCACCCGCTCGGTGAAGTTCTCGGGGAAGACCCCCCGGCATTTCTCCAGCTCCTTGTGCTGGTTCCAGTCACTCTCCTTCACGCCCATGAGCCAGCCTTCATCCTGGGGAGCAGAGGACCAGTGGGCACAAGAAGGGGGAGCCCACAGGGCTTGGGCAGGTTCATTTCCTCCAGCCTGTCATACCCACCAGGCAGCCTTCCTGCTTCTCCATAGAGCCCCAAACCACTGACACACTCCATTCTTGGGTGTGACCCTTTGCTGTTTGGTGAGTCCTTCCCATCCCGTCAACTTCGCTTGTCTGAGTGCATCTAACACCTCCCTCAAGCTCAGGCTTCTGAGCCACAGAGGACGCATCACTGAGGAGGGCATCAGCGGTCCTTCCAGATCGCCCACAGACCACTCCAGGAAATGCTGGTGAGTGCTGGATAGTTAACCACTTCTCAGAGTGCCCTGCGGCCACCTCACCGTGCCCTCCAACTTGAATTCAGCCTTTGCTTCACTGCTGACCGCACACAGTGATCGTCCACCAGACCTGAACTGGGATGCATGGCCTTTTACCCCCAACCCCAACAGAGGCCCTCACTGCCCTGCCGCTGGATGACAGCTGGGAACCACCTGGGTCTTTTCTAGTCTCTCATTCTTACCATTATCTGCACAAGTGCATCTTCCTACCTGAGCCACTTCTGCCCATCCCATCCCTGCGGGGCGCTGGCAGGATTCTGCTTCTGAAAGTCTCACCCAGGCTGTGGCCAGCCCCCAGGAAGCAGGGGAGGTAGAGAAAAATCCACTGACCAGGCCCACAAAGCCCTTGTTTCCCAATCTCCCAGCACCCCACAGCCTCATAAACAGCCGTGCCCTCCAGTCCCAGGCCAGGGCCTCAGCCAGGGTCGTCACAGCCCAGGCCCTGTCACAGGGCCTTCCACCCTTGGACACCCCGACAATGGAAATCGCACAGACGTGCAGGCAACTCACTGGAGTCTCTGAAAGGAGGAAGAATCTACTCCTCCTACCCAATACGATGATGCCTTGATAGCAACGTGGGCACCCCCAACCCACCACCTACCCTCCCATAAAGCATCCTACCAAAGGGCCACGATTCATGAACAAAGCAACTGTCCAAACCCCGGGGGCAGCTGTGCCCAGTTAGGGCGGCCAGCCCTGCTTGGGGAGTCCACTCTGAGGGCAGAGGAGGGACACTGGGGAACCATCTGGGGTGAGAGACAGCTGAGGGCAAGGCTGAGGGACTTCAGAGGCTCATGGAGAGGAGATGAGGGAATCATCCTGGGGGGAAGGCAGCCTCGGCCAGGAGGGGGGAGGGAGAAAAGTGGAGTCTGGGGACAAGTAGAGGCCGGCGAAGGGAAAGACAGTGATGGAGGAAAGAACATAAGAGAAGCAGCCGAGAGAAGAAAGGAGATAGACAGGAAGACAGCAAGAAGGGGAAATGGGATGGCCTGGGAGCCAGGCCAAAAGGGAGAGAGAAAAGAGCTGGGAAGGGAGGATCCGCTGAAATCAAGAAGGGGGCGGGAAGGAGGCCCAGTGTGCTGGCAGGCCTCTGCTGCCCCCTGCTGGCCGCTCCCCACCAGCTGTGCAACCACCGCGCAAGTTCACCTGCTCTTCTGGGTTCTGGAAGGGAATCACCAGTACCACGTCTCCCGCCTTGAGCTGCAGCTCATCTGTGTCCGTGGCTGTGTAGTCATGCTGGGCCTGCACCTGCAAAGGTTGAGGGAGAGCTCGACACCCCTTCCTCAGACACCCTCAGCCGCATGGGGCCTCAGGTCTGGGGTGACTTTGGTGACAAAGGAAAAGCTGTGGGACTCAAGCCTCACAGGCGGGGTGGTAGGGATGCACAGGGATGGGGCTTTGGAAAAGCCTCATGGCTCCATGTCCTCATGCTTATTCAAACGGTACTTGCACCCCTGGGGCCCTACCAGAAGGTGGTGGTGCGAAATTGAGGGATCAGCTAGCCTGAGCTCACCTTGAACATGAACCCCGGGGGCAAGTCCAAGCGCCCAGCCCCATTGCCAGCCTCCACGGTGCCGTTCACAGTTGCTGAGAAGGTCTCCACCACCACAGCAGGAAGGGAGCTCTGGGGAAGGGAGCACACGTCAGTGCAGGCAGGGAGCGCGGATCCAGGACAGGGGTGACCAGGCAGGGAGAGAGGGAGTGTGTGCCTAAAGCCAGAGCTGCCTGCCTCTGGGTTCGTCGACAGGAACGGCGACCTGGGCCAGCAAGGAGCAAGGCGCATGGGCAAGACACAGGGCCAGGTGGCCGTGGGCCGGCAGCAGACAGACAGACAGCAGGGAAGAAAAGACAGGGCCGTGGTCCTGTCGCCTTACGGAAGCTGCTTCACTGGCTGCCGTCTCCCCGGGCTCCTGGGCTCCAGCCGCAGGTTGGGTCCCACCCGCTACTTCTGAGGCCTCTGTTGGCTGCAACATAAATGCCAGCAAGGGGTCAGACACAGGATGGATGACTCTCTGGGACAAGAAAAAGGACCATGGGGGGCAGCACCCTGAGTGGTGTCTAGAGCCGGCCAGTGCCTTTCCCCTGGCTGGGGGAAAGCCAGGTCCTGGGCACTGCGAGCAGCTGGAGGTGCTGGTAGGCAGGGGAACGCTGAGTGACTTGCTGTGGAGAAGACCAGCATGGAGCCCTGGAGGCCACCTTGACCTGGCCTCACAGAGCCCCCCTCCCCCCCAAGCCCAAGCCCTGGCCAAACCTCAGCTTTCCCGGCCCTCCCCCACCCAATCTGCCTGGCCCCTCAGAGAGCCCCCATGCTCGCGAGCATAAGCACACTTGCCCCATCAGAACGCAGCACTGTGCCGGCCAGAGCAGCCAACCCTGGATGCCAGCGACCCCAGAAAGGAGAGGCACAGCCCCGGGCAGCACCGCCGGCAGGGCAAAGTGGACGCTGCTGGGCCAGAGTCCAGCTGACCTGGACCGGCCTGAAACCCGGCCACTTCTGAGCTTTGGGAGCAATTGCTCAACCATCCTACCCTCTGGTCTTCGTGTGTCAAAGGAGGAAATACCTAGCTTAGGGTGATGATCACATAGAAAATTTTGGAAAGTGACCACCATAAGCCACTAGGTGCTCCACATGCTCCTCCCTGCCACTAAACTGGGACTGAACTGGGAGGCTGGAGTGGGGCTGGTGGGAGAGGGGTGCGTGTGACCTCAATGCCCTCCCCCAGTACAGGTGGCATGCCCCTTACCAGAGCTCAGGACCCGGGTCTCACCCTCAGGCCCACGGCGGCCTGATCCATCAGTGCCCTTTCCTCTGGGCTCCGCATGCTACACTCCCAGAGGCTGAGGACAGATGGGGGCACTGGTGGGCAGGAACTTACTTGGGCAGGACCTGGCTCGGCCATCTGGCTGGGCCAGGACACCGCAAAGGTGCCCTCAGCAGCGCTGGGCTCCCTGGAAGGCAGGCTGCCAGCTGGACTCTCTGTGGGCTAGTGAAGGGCCACCAGGAGAGCAGGGCAGGAGGGGCAGGGCCGGGGAGGAGGTGTCAGGTGGGGACACGAGACAAGAGAAGACAGTCGTGAACCCTGTGTTGGCAGAGGGGGGCGTGGTGCCTGAGGGCAGTCTGGCTGATGGGGGACATCAGAGAGAGAACCCCTGAAGGGCGCTCCATTCCCATCACTTTGCTCTTACCACCGGTAAGGGGTGGCAGGTACAAATATTGCACACAGCTCAGCACCCACCAAAACCTTGCCAAATGCCTCTGCACACCCTCCCCTGGCTTTCTCTGGGACCCCTGCAGATAACGACACCAGGCACCACCCACAGAGGGCACCTGGCCTCACCTGTCCTTCCTGTCCCTTGAATCATCTCTCCCTCGCCCTCTGTCCCAACAGTTCTCTGATGCCGCTGCCCGGTAGGGTCCCCACTGACAGGAAGGTCCTCGAGTGTTAAGAACCTCCACCCAAGACCCCCCACATACTGGCCTCAACACGCATAAGGGCACCCGCTCCGTCCTGGGTGACGAGCTAACTACTGCGTAGGGAGACTTAGGGGGGCTGACAACTGCATCGTGGAGGACGCTCCCCTCAGGCTATGTGGCAGAGCCCTGTGCGTGGGCCTGGCAGAGGATCAGCATGCCCACAGAGGGGTCCACGGCTGTGGGCCCAGATCCACATGTGTGAGCGCACCTGCGACCAGCCAGGTACAGGTCGAGGAGCTGGGCCTGTACCCGAAGAAGAGCAGCTGCCCAGGTGGGGGTGGAGCAAGCACAGCTTACCTCCCAGAGGTCCCATGGAATTGGCTGAGCGCAGCAGTAGGGAAGAAGTACAGAGTTAGCACAGGGGTTAGAGATGGGGGTGCAGGTAAGGAGTCCTCAGGAACCCCCACCCCCCGACTGCCCCTGCTCTTGAGCCAGCAGGTACAGGTAGGTGTGGAGCTGGGCTCAGAGGTCTCCAGAGAGGCAAGTCCTAGACCTCTCAGGGGCACAACCCCAGACCTTGGGGGCGCCCACACACAGGGCTGCTGGCAGGACAGAAGCAGTGTGTGGGCGGGGTTGAGTGCTCAGCTGACCCTCCCCCTGAGGGTGGTCTTGCTGGCAAACTGAGGAAGTAAGAGCCACAGCCAGAGCACCAGGGGGAGGATCTGGTGACCCCAGCATCCTCGGGCCCTGACCTAGTGGCTGGTGGGTGGCGATGGGCTCAGACCAACCTGACCAGAGGGCGTAGGCGCCTTCACAGGGCTCGCCACAGGTGGGAGGGGGTCAAAGTCCAGGTCCAGCAGACTAGCCTGCTCCGAGAAAGGCCCTGGGGCCTCGAACTTGACAGCGGCAGCAATGGAGGAAGGCAGTTAGTGATCAGCTGGGAACATTCGACGTGGCCACTCAGGTACATCCCACACGTGTGCGCACACACATGTATACACACACACACGCACACACAAGCACAGCCCTGCACAGGCTCCCATCCACACCGGGCGGCCCTGGCGTCCACTTCAGAATCAGCAGCAGGCCGCCAGGACAGCCACCGCCAGCCGAGGTCAAACCCCCAATTCCGTCACCTCTCCCTCCTGCAGGCCAGCAGATGTCTCCCAGTGGCCACGTCATTTCGCTCCCTAACGCAAGCATCACAGGCTAGAGCCAGGGCTGGACGAGACAGCTCACGCATCCTGTCTGGTAAGGCCCTCGGTTGAGCACTGACCTCCCTTCATTGTCCCACAGACAGGTCACACGTGGTGACTTGCAGCACAGCCAGCTCCAGGGAGCAGGGCTACCGCTGAACTAGCACACACTGCCTGGAGGCCTGGTCTTCAACAGTGTCCCGACACTTGTGAACCTGTTTCCAAACTGCAGACCCCACCCCAGCCACCCGCAGAGTCTTAGTGGGTCTGGGTGCAGCCCAGGAATGTGCAGGGAGCAGCAGGGCGCTAGAAGACTAGGGCACAGGCCCATGCCAGCCTCCCTGACAGCTGAGTCAGATCGGGTGAGGGGGGTCGTCTTCCCCTCAAGGAGGACAGGAGGCCTGGCCACAGTGCCCAGAAGACACGCTACCTCTGTAGGAGGACTTGCCTCCATCTTGGATCAGGGCTTTTCCCGAGAGGACTTTGCCTAATGGAGAGAAGGATCTGGCTGGCTCCTATGTAGGTTTGGGGGTGCCCTCCCATGAGGAAGACCAGAGCCTTCTGGGGAGCTGTAGCCTGTCTGAGGATAGCCAGGACTCTCAGCTCTAAGAACACTTGGTGCCAGCTGTCCCACAGCTTAAGGGAGAAGGCACAGGGTCCAGCACGTCCAGGCCAAGTGGACATACTTCCCGGAACAAGGGACGTGTCCCCAGACTCACTCCCAGACACTGACTTTCCTGTAAGTCCAATGAGCCGAAGAGGGAAGCCACTGTTCTGTCTCCACCACCCTGCCCTCTCTAAGGAATGAAAGGAATGAGTGTCCAGGGAACCATGGATACATGGGCTCTAGGTACCCTCCCACAATGGAAGGCACCATCCCTCTATCCCTCTCCCCAAGTGTCCCACCACCCCACCCCTTTTCACAAGTCACTGAAGGCCAGGCAGGGCCTCCTCCACCCACCCCCCCATTCCCAGAACTCCAAGCAGAAGGGCAGGCATGTCCTCCCCACCCACCTCCCAGCAGGCCAGCCTTCCCCATGCACCGCTGTCCATGGCACGGGAATGCAGGCCACTCACCATGGCCCAGCTGAACAGCCCTGTTAGCACAGCCATGTAGACAGGGACCAGCCCACCCGGCCCTGAAGACAGCAGCCATGGTGTGCCTGTCCCACACCTACTGGTAGAGCCCCTGGTCTCTGGGGTGGCTGGGGTCGGAGGGGTGGGGCTGGAAGGCATGCCGTGAGCTGGGAGGGGCCCACTCGTGCAGACAGGCTGACTGCGCTTTAGGCCCGCGCGTTCCCCCATGGCAGATGGGGAAAACACCCCCTCAGGAGGTGTTTGAGACAAAGGGGAAAGGGCCTGTCGGTAAGGGCCGGCACCACACCAATCTGGTTGCTGGCAGTGCCGGCCTGGACCAGCATGCTGAGCGGGCTAGGGCTGCTTGGAGGCCTGCTTCCCATTTCCAGGTGGCTCCAGCAGCACCCTGGGGCCAGTGTGGCCACCTTTCCAGGGGCTCCCAAGCCTCTGGGCCCTGAGCCAGGGAGCCAGGGCCTCATCCCCCTAGCCTCCCTGTCTGAAAGTCCCTATCCCCCCAGGGGCTTGAAGCCCATCACCCATAGAGCCCTTTTAGCACTGATCACTATTCCCAGCTGCCTCTCCCTCCACACTCACCCCTCCACTCCAGGTCTCTGAGCCTGTGCCAAGCAGCCTGCAAGAGGGAGAGGCCAGAGAACCCGGCCTGGCAGCAGCCTAAGCTCAGCCACCCACACAAATGCTGAAGGCCCCTTATGGAAGAGACCCGGGCATGGAGACCAGGTTTAAAGCGATCAGTGTTTTGTGACCTCTGCCAGCTGACCTCATAGTGTACCAGCCCCCTCCAGTGCCACCAAAGTTACCTTCCCTGACAGCCCTCCCTTTGTCCATCTGCAAATGGGCATTTCATGCTATCTTAGGGTATTTATGAGCAGGCCATTTAGGAAGAGGGCATTTCTTAGGGCATAGGCTTATCGCAACTCATACTGAGAGTCTACAGTTCAGCCACTGCCCCACCTCCAAGTGCAACAAGAGCTGATAAGCAGCTCTGGGAGCTAAAATCTAGGTGCCTCTGGCAGACATTCCAGAATCTGCCCGACTACGTTCTTGCCGCCTCCCCTCACTATCTCTGGTTAAAGCAGCGTCTTCCCAGACACCTGGTAAACATCACCTCCTCCAGAAGCCTTCCCTCATAGGCCAAGATCTCCATGCTCCCTGCGGCCACAGTTTGAGTGGAACCTTCAAGACACAGGTGAGTGAGGACCGTTCACCTGTGTCCCCGCATCTGGCTACGGGGCATGCTCAGAGACGGATGAAGGATGGCAGATGGAGGAATGGATGGAAGAGCAAGAGCAAGAGGAAGCTCAGGGCCAGTCTCGCCAGCCAGATTCCTGATTCTTGAGGCGAGGCACAGGGCGTGGGATGGAGGAAGAAGGCCATGCACGCCCAAGAGAACTGGCCGCGGCGGCCGCGGCTGACCTGGGAGGGGGTGGTCACGCTGATCTCGGGGACAAACGTGTCATCAAACAGGCTGAGGATCTGCTCCTGCTTGACCTCCTTGGACGGGGTGTGTTTGGGAGGCGGAGGGACTGGTGGGCCTTTCCGGAGCTGTGGGTCGGCGGCGGGTGAGGGGGCCGCACGGGGAGGCGCAGCAGAGTGTGGGGGTTGGGGGAGACAGACAAGACAAAGCCACAGTTAGTCACACCCAGGCAACCGAGGAGGACAAAGCCACAAAAGTTGCTGCTTCCCAAGTCACAAAGCAGAACCACAGGGACAGCCCGAAAGGAATACCAAGGAACAGAGAGGAAAGGAGGGCAAGGAAGTGAACGAGGAGAGAAAAGAAAGGGAAACAGGAGAGTCTGCCAGGCCACAGGAGGGGGTGCTTGGCTCTCACCCCCAGGGTGGGGGGGGGACTGAGGAGAGAAGAGGATCTGAGAAGCACCCTGTGCCCACAGCCTCTGGTCCGCAGAACCCATCCTTGCCCACCCTGTGGAGCAGCCAGCTCGGCCTGGCACCTGTGGAGACCCATGGAGCCAGGGCCCTGCAGAGGGCCTGGGAGAGGCTACACATCCACCCACTTGGGGGAACTCAGGCAAGACCACCCCTCAGCCTGGGTGTCCTCGTTTGTCAGGTTGGGGTGCAGGTTGGTGTGCGACAACACCCTGCTTCCAGGACGGTGTGAGGAGTCAATGAGTGAACATGAAAAGCACTGGCACAGGGCCGGCCTCCGCAAGAGACTCGAGCACCGGCTGTCCAGGCATAGGCTCTCCCTCCAGCTGTTGGAGGGCTGAGACCAAATGTGCTCGGCCAGACCAGGCTGGTGTGGGCCATGCCTCCTCCCT